GGAAATGGAGAAGGAGGTCAGTAACTGGGGTTTGCTAATAATAAAATAGAACATTTAGTGCACCATTCTTTCAGATAATTTTTGGAACTTCAAAATAAAGTTAAGCAAGGGAGATGAAAAGGAGCCTTGTTCAGCCAAAGGTATAAATTTTAAACCAATATTCGATTTAACAGACTTGTACTGTTTTGTTTGGAGTTTGACTTCAAACCATTGTTGGTAAAATACCATGCACCTCATACCAAAACTATCCATCTAACTAGAAACTGGCTTACGATGAAATTATGTATTGCAAGGTTTGTTATGGAATATAGACCCTATGATTACAGAAACCCAAGCAGCATCTCTTTTTTTAAAAAAAGAAAACTGTTCCATTCTTTGGATGTTGAAAGCTATAATCCAAATAAATAAATAAATATTTGCATTTGAAATGCAATAAATAGAATATCCTGGATGAAACTCTAAAAAAAGATATTGAAGCAAATTTTTTAGGCTTGCTACAATTGCTTGCACCATCGTGGCATCTGTACATGCTAGATCTTTGCTAGTGCCTATTAAAGCTTGTGTAAGGCCCAGCATTGACTACAGAGATTATTAGAGCAATCCTGAAAGACATAAATAATCAGTGGAAATGTACATCTATTTTATCACCAAAAAATCTTATAAAAGCTATTCTTGTGTATAGTCACATTTAAGGTATGAAGAGCAAAATGTTTTATATATAATATGATTGTTTATGTATATTTAAGATTATTGATGTTTGAATTTATTTAACACTTCTTTTTTAACTCTCTTTCCTAAACGTCTTCTAGAATCTGCTTTTCTCATACCAGCCCCCTCAGTCATCCAGCCGATTTTCAGTTTCGCAGACAGGAGACCTCACCATCACCAATGTCCAGAGATCTGATGTTGGATACTACATCTGCCAAACTTTAAACGTTGCAGGAAGCATCATAACAAAAGCCTACTTGGAAGTTACTGATGGTAATGATACCTTTTTTTTTCTTTTTTTTTTTTTTTTTTCCCATTTCCAAGTTGTTTTTTTTTATTTAAATATATCAGTGAGAGGATGTGACACTATTTTAGTATCTGGTTTACCTAAACACATATTGCATGCGTTTTTTGTTTGAACCTAAAAATCCTGCTTGGGGCATCTTTGTCATGAGTTTAAATTTTGGATATTGTGTGCTGCCATTTTGTTGTGTAGCAGTATATTTTATTTAATAAATATATTTCAGATTATGGTTTTTTGTCAGATCTATTAATTTACCTTGCCTTTTTTTTTTTTTTTTTTAATCTTTCCCCAGTTAGGTTTGGCTTACTTTCAGATTTCTTTAGGCCTTATTACTCCATGTCTCTTCACTTAATATCTCCATTTATGTCACTTTTTTCCTTGTTCTAGCAAAGAAAAAAATTCACTCTGAATTGGGATCAGTAGAACAACATACAAATGCGTATTATCATACATTTTGTTTAGGGGGAGTTGGAACAAAAATTAAGATGAAAAGGCTGCAGTGAACATTACTACAAGCGTTACATTCAGCTATAGAGCATAGATCAGTCAGCAAGGTGGCTACTGGGAGCAGGAAAAGAGAGGCAAAGATACTGTGAGATTGATGTAGGTCAATAATGAACAGCAGCATTTTTTAATACATTTTTGGCATTATATCAATACATTTAATACATTTGGCATTATATTAACATCCTACCATAGATGATTATTACTAGCCACTTTGTAAATTACTTATTTAGCATTAAATGTTATTAATTAATAGTAATCCAAAGCATAAGTCCAATGAATAAAAACTGTTGCTCAGAAAATTATTTGGAAAATTATATGCAGACTTTATGTACAGCCTCCTACTATTTGAATCTACAAAGCTCTTTAGACACTTGTCAAAGTTAAATATAATCTACATATGAGCTTATTTTGGCTGACTCTGATGAAAAAGATACAAATGGCCTCTCAGTTGCCTTGCAGTGCATTACAGCAGGTTGGGACAAGAAGTAAAAGGTAAATTAAGAAATTAAAAATGTCAAGTATCATTTGAACATGCAAATGAAATTACAAGAGTTGGAACTTAGCCAAAAAAAAAAAAAAAAAAAACAGTGCCAAAACCCTGTATGAAAATAACTTAGAACTATCTGATGTTCCCAAAGTCGGAATTTCAGGTTTATATTTCAGCAACCAAACCAGCTTTTAAGTTACACCAATCCCCAATGACATTGCTAAGCACAAGCACAGTTATGTCATTTTAAGTTATGGCTACTTTTGAATCAACAGCCCCTGTCATGTTGAGTTGAACAGGTAGAAGGGGGTCACTCAATAATATAGGTTTTACTTCTTTTCTTGATTATCCATTGAATGATGGGAAAAAAATGTAGTCATTCCTGTTTCTGTGAATACTGAGATTACTTTATTGATACTTTTCTTTGCATAGTTATTAAATAACATATCAAGACTGTTTCATTTCCATTGTGTGCAAGATGCAGTAAAACTATTGCAAGCACACTGGGTTTCTCCTTATGGTTTTGAGCTAGTATTGCAGATGAAGTTGTAATAGAACTGGAAATCTGAAACTACTGAAAAATACTTCTTAGCAGAAAAATGTTGATATGGTACTTTTGTTAGCTTTCTGTTTAGTCTACTGGAAGGCATCTTCCAATTAGGCACAAAGATAAGTTGATGGTTCACAGTATTAAAGAAAAAAAAAGTAAGTTTGTTCCATGTCTGCCTACCTCTTTAATCTCTATCATTGAATCTTGGAAGTATGAATTCTGTTGTACAGGTGTGCTGCATCATAAAAAAAAAAAAAAAAAAAAAAAAAAAAAAAAAAAAAGGTAAAAACTGTGCATTCCAAAATTTGGGAAATCCTTTCTCATTTTGTTATCACTTTCTAAAGATACTGCAATTACAGAATGCCTATGTAATATGTAATTCTTCTTTCCCTTCTGAAATTAATGTATTGTATATCATTATAAATTCTGTAGCTGTGCATCATTATGATGCACCATGCCCTGAATAATGCATGCCTCCAACTTTAATTACTTGTTTAATTATCTTTAGTTTGTTTCAAAGCCTCAAGCAACTGCTGTTGCTTAGATGATTAGAAAATTGCTTCCAGTCGCAGAAATCTATTTCCTGTTGTTTCTTCTGGCAGTGATTGCAGACCGGCCTCCCCCTGTCATTCGACAGGGTCCTGTGAATCAGACTGTAGCTGTAGATGGTATTTTAGTGCTAAACTGTGTGGCCACAGGCACTTTAACACCCACTATCCTCTGGAAAAAGGATGGGACCCTGATCTCTACCCAGGACTCTCGCATCAAGCAGTTGGAGACAGGAGCATTACAGATCCGATACGCCAAGGTAGCTTGAACTGGCAAACTCTTTTTTGTGTTGAGTTTTGTTGTTATCTGTTTATTTTTTCTCTTCAGGTTACTTTTCATTTTGGAAATACTACATTTAAAATTAATGAAATATTAAATAATTGTATTAAAGTATTTGATACTTCATGTTTTCAGATGGTTCATTCTTTAAGCTTTACACCATAGCTTGTAGAGCCTAGGGCCTATTATTTTAAATGGAAAAATGCTTTTAAGTAATAAGTAAGGGGATTATTTGTTACTGAAAACATGAAGGAAGAAGATGAAACCTTATATTTTTGGGGTTTCATCACTAATAGATGAAAATGATCTAATTATTTCAAATGTTTATAAAGAAAGCCTCTGCTTAGCATACTGCAGTTATAGAGTCATGTTCACAGCTTTTTCAATGTAACATTTCCAATTCAAACATACTTACTTGATAAACATAGTATAGCCCTGGCTTAAAATGGTTAATGCCTGTCACATATATGGCTCTCATAGGGAATTCTAGCAAGTTCCTGATCTTCCTGGTCAGTATTGCTGGTTATGCCTAGTGAAATGGAAAATACTTTAAAATGCTGTTTTTTGCCTACTAACTCTGTTATCTTTCATGTGATTTGAAATGTATTAATTCTTAAAATTAGGCCAAATATATGGCTTTATTATGTTTGCTAGACTTGTTCTGTTACCAATTAGAAGTTACAGTAGTTGAGAGCAGGGTTGCTCTCTTCTCACTGGTGACAGGACAAGGGGAAATGACCTCAAGTTGTGCCAGGGTAAGTTTAGGGTGTGTATCACAAGAAACTTCTTTACAGAAAGGGTTGTTAAGCACTGGAATAAGCTCCTTGGGGAGGTGGTTGAGTTACCATCCCTGAATGTGCTTAAAAACCATCTGGATATGGTGCTCAGGGACATGATTTAGTGGAGGATTGTTAGAGTTAGGGTAGTATGGTAAGGTCATGGTTAGACTTGATGGTCTTGAAGGTCTTTTCCAATCTGAGCAATTCTATGATTCTATGATGGGATCCAGAGCAGCAGTGAATCTGTGGCAATGCTGCCTTATGCTGTCTTCAGTTATTTCTTGCACTGCCTTCTTGGTACAATGCATAGTGTTGAGGATGTTCAAATAATGAAATTTTAAATTTTAAGACACTTATACCCATTCTACCCTTCCTGTAACAAGAAAGGCCAAATATCATTCCAGGTCTTCTGAACAGTGTTCTCTGATTTTCCAGAGAAGGCCTCTGCAAAGCACTTGGTTTGTCAGACCCTTGGTAAATGTTAGCCCAGAAATTAAACTAAGAGTTATTGTTGCCTGACAGTGTAGAACAATATCTTGTGAGCAGTCATCCTATGAAGGTGGCATTCTCTTTCTAATCTTCAATAATTAAAATGCTGCTGTTTAATTTGTCTCTACTTTCCCTCAGAAGTCATCATTAGGAAGAGCATTCTCAGTGTGTGTGGCATGCAAACATCATCCAATCTGTTAGTCTCTATGGCTAAGTGTCTTGAGCTTCACTGTTACAGAAAACTGTAAACTTGATGTTAGAAAACAATTGTTTCTATTTCTTTTTGAAGACAAATATAAATGTGATCTGAGATTTCACCTGAACGAGTAAATGAAAAGGACATGGCAACAGAAAGAGTTTATTATTCTAACATCCTATTTCCAGAAATATCTGTCTATGAAGTATGAAATTATAAACCTATAAATGGGTGCTGCTGTTCCTGCTCAGTGCAGTGGGTTCCATGCTAGGGTGCTGGCTGCTCTTCTGCATCTGCTCTGTCAGAGCCACAGGTGCATGTTGGGCAATGCGGGGCTGCTTTGTGGGAGCTGCAGGTGCATGTTGGGCAATGTGAGACTGCCCAGGGCCCCCAGTTAGCTGATGTCATCTTGGCTGCTGCCAACATGGCCATGGCAAAGCACTGGCTGAGGTAATGCAGGGCAGCCCCTGGATCCTGCAGCTCTGATTCCTGTGGGGGCTGGGCAAATGCCTGCCACACTGAGCCAGGTGTAAAAGTGGGTGCCTTGAAGGGCAGAGTGTTGTAATCTGGAGGAATGGCATCCGAGATGGGGCTGCTGCTCAGTGGCAGTGGGGAGGGGGCCAGAGGCTGGCACTCTTCCCTCTCTGGTGCAGCAGCAGGGTCTGGTGGAGTTGGAGCACTGCCTGTTTGGTCTTGGATAGGGGCTTTCTTGAATTGCTTGGGTGGAGGAGGCCCCATGGATGGCACTGTCTGTGTGCCTGCTTGTGGATTTGCAGTCAGCAGGCTCTTCTCTGGCCCAGCAGTCAATCCCTCCATAGGCTGGACATCTGCGTTGTTCCTTGGGGGCCCCTCATTCAGGTCTTCCTGTGGACTGGGGGCAGCCACAGCTCTTCTTTTTTGGGCAACTCTGCGCTTGCAGAGTTCCAGCAGCTCTGGGTGATCTTTCCTGAAGTTTGGATTGTAGTAGCAAAGTAACTGAAAATACAAAGGAGAAGAGCTGTGATTAGTTCAGGACTGCAAGACAGCGAGACACAGAAACTTCAACTTTTAATTGCTGAAGACATGGGTATTAAAATATCAGTAAGTTTAAACTTACAGCTTAGGCTGACTAAAGTAAGATATGTTGAAATAAATAGATTCATCATACCCTCATTTATTTATCTTTCTGTTCCATGGGTTCAGACTCACTGGATAAAACCCAAATACATTTTTCCCACATTTCTAGTACTCAGCAATGCTACCTCTAAAATAGCTGCAAACACCCAGAGGAAAAAATCAGAATCAGAACGTTCACTGTCATCCCCATCTCCTCTGTTACTGAGGCTTATTTTATTGTAACCATCTCTTCTACCAGAATATTATGAGAGTTGATTCGCGTGTGGAGCAGCTGATGTACCTTCCTGTGAGCCACAAATGCCTCTTCCTCTGCTAGAAACTCAGGAAGCGAGGGAGATCTTTTGGAGTCGCGCTGCATTTTTGTGAATCCATACACATTAAGTTGACGAATAAAGCTTTTCATGCTTTCTGTCCCAAACACTCTCAAGGATCCTTTCTTTCCCAAAACTTCAATCTGAAACATTTCCTGGTCAATTACAATGCACCTTCCATTCTGACCCCACCAAATGCTCTTAAATTGGTGACTTTCAGCCAGCACCCAGAGTTTTTCAGGAAAAGTAGAGGCTGCGGAGATAGTAGTGCTACTGCGTGTGCTCTCCTCGTAAGAAGCATGAGGTATATATTTGATTTCCTCTTGACAAGGATAAGTTTGTACATTTTTTTCATCCATTTTTGATGCCCAGGCGTTCCTTTATCCTGACTCAGAAGATCAGGAGAGCCTGGGATACAACCGGACCCTCTGGAGCAGAACCAGAAGTTCCTATTGCAGATAGCTCGCTTTCAATGCCTACTGTTTCAGTCTGACTGCGCTTTGTGCTCGCAGTCAGGTCTGCAGGGAGCTGCTCTTTGCCCTGCCAGCTGGCAAGTGAAATCCCACAGAACTGTTGAGGGGTTCCAGTGGGACAGGCTCAAACGTCACCATGGTGCCCAAGTGTCATCACAGTGACATCACTGTGCAGTGCCTATGGCCCATCTGTTGCAGCAGCCAGAGCAGGTGTTGCTGACCTGCCCTTGTTGCTGATCCTGCACAGAGCCATGGGTATTTTCATTTGAGTCAAGGTGCAAATAAAACTGTACCTGAAGGGGTTCACTCCTCATCCAAACATTGCTTCCCCTTCCCTGGGTGGTCCCCTGAATTGCTCCCTTCTGGACTTCTTGGTGTCCCTTGGGTTCTCCAGATGGGAGTGGAAGTCAGCACCTTTAAGAGAAGAAAACAGTCATCTCTTCTCAATTCTGTCACAATTTCTTGCAAATGCTCTTTTATTTCAGTTGCACAGCTTCTGTAAGGGAGTATCTGTGTGCGCAGACAATACCATGTCACCAGTCTCCCAGAAGCTGCTCTGTAGATCCAACTAGAAAAAGACACAAAGTACATTTTGCTGATCACATAAACAGAAGTTGTATAACCCCTCTGTTCTTTTATTTGATTCCTGTGTTTTTATTTGATATTCTTAGAGATTTAGAAAGCAGTCCCACAAAATCAGTGATGTTCTTGAAAGCCATCTAAATTACAGTTCTCTCTACAGAATTAAGTGCCAAATAGGTCATCATTCAGAACTGGATGAGAATAACATATGGAGATATTTTTTGGGGGGTCTGCCTTAGAGTGAAATTTATGCACGAAGAAACCAATAGGTACAAGGCCTTGTGAAATATTCAAGCTTTGTTTTAAGAACAGCATTCTCTACAGTTCTTCAGTCCAGACAAGTCCCTGAGCAGTATTAGGCAGAAGATTGTATGGGAATCCTATCATCTAAGTTCCTTTTCAGTTTATTTCTTAAGAACTCTACTACTTATTCCTTACTCTTAAAGAATAAGTGCTACGAGACTTGGCCTTCAGCATGTTGATTTCAGAATGGGCAGTGTTAAATCACAATAAGCAATATTTCCCCTTTTTGAAAGAATACTCAGAAACATACCCCTTTTCATTTTGTAGCACGTAAAATTATTCCTTCTAATGTAAGAAGTTTGTCATTCGAAGTTTTCTGCAGACTAAAAGATTTATTCATATTCATAGAGAAATGTACAGAGGTATAATTACTTTTCTAGCCCACTGACTGCCTGATTGTTTCAAATATTTATTCTTCTCTTTTCCCACTCAGTTGGGTGACACTGGTCGGTACACCTGCATTGCTTCAACCCCAAGTGGCGAAGCTACATGGAGTGCTTACATAGAGGTCCAAGGTAAATCAATTATGTTCTCTGCATGGAGAAAATGCATAAAAGAAAGTCAAAAATTGAAATGCAGTAATTATCTGACTGTCATAAATTGCCAGTGCAGATGCGAATAGCATTTAGCTTACAGCTGCTTCCTGTCTATCTATACTCTGTATTTCTCTCTCCTTTGTTAGAATTTGGAGTCCCAGTGCAGCCACCAAGACCCACTGACCCAAACTTGATTCCTAGTGCTCCATCAAAACCCGAGGTTACAGATGTCAGCAGAAATACAGTAACATTGTCATGGCAACCTAATTTGAATTCAGGTGCAACGCCAACCTCTTACATAATTGAGGCCTTCAGGTATATGTGTTTCATGTGATCTTGCTGTATTTAAGTTTGTATATAATATATTGTTAAAGAAGCACATGCTAACCTGTTGTTGTATGTGTTTTATCCTTAGCCATGCATCTGGTAGCAGCTGGCAAACTGTAGCTGAAAATGTGAAAACGGAGAGTTTTGCAGTTAAAGGGTTAAAACCTAGTGCAATTTATCTATTCCTTGTGAGGGCAGCTAATGCATATGGACTAAGTGACCCAAGCCAAATATCTGATCCAGTGAAAACTCAAGGTAAGCTTTTGATATTGAACATTTTAGGTGTCCACAGTGGCTGCTACTAATTGACTAAGAAATACTAGATGCAGAAATTTTGCTAGCTTTCAACTATCTGTGCTGACTGTGATATATGTTAGGTAGTGAAATACGTTGTTTAAAGTTGTGTTTCCCTGTAACATAAACTCTAAAAGCTGCTTGGACAGCATATTGTGCTGCCTAAGGGAGCAGTATTATCTCTTATCCAAAGGTAGTTACATCTTACAAAATAGCTCGTTAGCAACAAAAGTGATCTCTGATTTTTGAAGCTATCATACAAATCCTTAAATTCTATGAAAATATTACTGTGTCCAGTGCACCAAATGAAGCTTAGAACTTAGAGACAGAAACAGTATATGATCTAATTTGGATTCTGCAGAATTAGGAAAGAAAGTAGTTTAAAATTTGAAAGAACTGGGCATTGTCAGTCAGGAAAGAAGAACTTTCAGCAGTATATTGAAAACATTGCAGTAGTACTGCTGTTGAAAACAATAGGAAAGAGAGACAATACTTACAGGTAGCCAAGTGAAAGACAGAACTGGGTAGTAACTTCTGAAGAAGTCACCTGCTGACTGAAGCTACAGCTGAAGTCCAGTGATGGACTGAATCTACCTATGCAAAATTTTAAATAAATTCACATTCAGTGTAGAAAATAAATGATACTTAGGGTAGTGTTCAGGAAATAATTGTCTGCAACTTCAAGCAGAGAGAGCTGGAGCTGTTCAGCCTGGAGAAGAGAAGGGTCCGAAGAGACCTGAGAACAGCCTTTCAAGTATCTGCAGGGGGGCTATAAAAAGAAGGGGCTAGATGCTTTAGTGGGATTTGTCATGATAGGACAAAGGGAGATAGTTTCAAACTAGAACAGAGGACATTTAGATTGGAGATGAGTAAAAAGTTTATTATAATAACAGTAGTGAAGCACTGGCACAGGTTGCCCAGGGAAACTTTGGGTGCCCCATCGCTGGGGCAGGCTGGACAGGGCTCTGAGCAACCAGGCCTGGCTGTTGGTGTCCACATTCATTGCAGAAGAGTTGGACTAGATGACCTTTAAAGGTCCCTTCCAACTTGAATGATTCTGTGATTCTGCAAACATTTTCATTCTTAAATAGGAAAGAAAATAATTTATTCTTTTTCAAAGAAAAAGTAACAAAAGTCATCTTCCTTTTTTTTTTTTTTCTGCTTTAGTAGAGAATTTGATCCACTGGTTTATTAAGATGCCTGTGCTATATGTTTACTTTTTTCTTTGCAGAAGTAAGCACATTTGTTTTTGGAAGGAAGTTCCTTAAAGGAAACAAAAAATCTTCATTTAGGAACTTTTCATTTGTTCTGGAGTTGGTCTGAAAGCAAGTTTTTCTCCCATGGAGAGTGGGCAGTTGTATATACCTATTGTTTGTTATTATGCATTTCTGCTTGGTAACGATTTCAGTGGATGGATAGGCAGTGTAGTTATAACTGCATAGAAGATAGGAATTACACAGGTTCCTAGGTCTGCCTCAAAGAACAGCATGTGTTACTTTGTGGGCAGGTGGGCTGCAGTGTTCTATACAGGTCAGTTTTTTATGCAGTGTAGCATACCACAAGTTTTCAGTTTGAGCGAGTAAGTTAGTTCAGAAATTTCCCAGTTAACTTCTCATAGTTCATAGAAATTTATTGCCTTGCATTAAATTCATGTCCAGATCAGGAATCTAACCTTCCTCAGCCTTTAGACCTGACCAACATTTAAAACATGCTGAAGTGCTCTCACTCACAGTCCCTGTATTGGAAACGTTAGAGATTAAGCAAGAAAACGTAGAATAGATGATGTATATAGTTCTGTAGCACAGAATTGCAAAATTGCTGAGTCTATTAATAGTTTTAGTCATATTGTTGATGACTTGCCTTTTATAACTAGTGGTGAAAATATCACTAATTATTGAACTGACTTTTCTGTAGCATTTCAAGCAAGTTGATATTTAGGCAGCTCTCCAAGTAGAATTTTCTATCATTAGTGCTTTCAAAGCATTAAAGAAATGGTGGGAAGGGAAATGCTTGGTTAAATGAACTGTTAGGCAGAACATAATAGATATAGCAGTAATATTGTGATGTTTCTTTGTTTTGTTTTGTTTTGTTTTGTTTTGTTTTGTTTTGTTTTGCATGTAACCAGCATTCCTTTCTAAGAGGCTAGTTTTGTCACTGATTACATGGTAATTTCAATTTGCTTTATTAACTTCAGAGAGATCTCATTGTTTTGCAGATATTTGAGGCAACTATGTGACAAGACTGCAAAGTGACAAGTTTTATATGCCAAAATGGGAACTGTATTTTTGAGAAGTTCTCACACTGATATTTTTTTAATGCAGCCTTACAGAATTTTTAATATTGTTTAGACAAGACTGAAAACTTAGAGTATAATTACTATGCAAAAAGGATGCTTTACATCTTTTTCATTTAATTGTAACAAGTACCTTTAAAATCAGCATCTAAAAAACCCTCAACTTTTAAGATACCTGCACGGACTTATTGCAGTAGTTGTAATAGATATATACACAGTTTCTGTTTACTCTCTCTTTTGCCTGTCTTGTGAGCAGACAGGTATGGAATTTATCAAGATCTTCAGAGAACAGAATCCTTGAAGATTTTCTAATCTTGTCTAATCACTAGAGGAGATCACATAGAGAAAAGTAGTAGGCTAGAGTAAGGTTTATATAATGCCTTACTCTGTATCTGGAATTGTATTAGGAAAAGAAAAATTGGTCTAAGTACATTCACTGAATTCCCTAGTCCATGATTTTAACAGTTGTCAGCATGGTATTTTCTAAAATGAAGTGATCAAAGAGAAACATATGAAATCAATATAGAGACTCTGTTCCTCTGCTGTCTGTAGTACATGTATTTGAGACACTCTGTTAGTCACTGCCCTATAAATTTTATATATGTCTAGGACAGTCATTAAATTTAAGTATTCTTTTCAAAGGCATTGCATGCAGAAGTGTATTTCCATTGTCCTACTGCCTATTTTGAGAGGAAATTGTCCCTTCATGTGTATGGTCAATTCTTTTAGCTGTAAGATAGACTAAATGGCAGAAGAACAAGACAACACTCAGCTGTGCTCTGTCTTCTGTTTACAGAAGTCACCTGCTATCAGTGAAACTTTAGCTATGTGACTTGCTTTTAGTTTCTACAGTTTTTGTTTCTTTTGTAATTAAAAATAGTAAGTTTGCCAATTAATTTACGTGAAGGCAAAGCATTCACAATGGCCCTTTCACACAGTT